CTATGGCTAGAAATTGGCCTCAATGATTTGGGATCGAGGGGGATTATCCCTCTTTATCCTGCCTCATCTCGTGTAGGCCTGGACAGCCTTCGTAGGTGGGCCCCATCCGTCGTCTACCCCGACCGCAAATGCGGCCGGTGTAGGCGCTTTGTGGGACCTCCTTTTGTCCTGGCTGGGCCCCGCCGGCTAGGGCCCTTTCTTCTGGCGCTCTTCTTGCTTCGCCGGCTCGTCTGTGTAAACCCCGGGGGTAGTGTCATGTTTATGTGTGGTATGGTTGGGTAGGGTAGTGCGGCTATGCAGCCTGGGATGCGCTTTGCTAAGGTGGCCCTTAGGCTAGCGCGGGAGGGGAGGGTTAAGGAGGGTATGGGGGGTGTGTATGTGTGTGTGTGTGTCGTTGTCTTCGTTTCTTGATCCTGGCTGTCTCTGAAACAGAAAAGGTTAGCGGGCAGGGGGGGGGTCATTGGGGTGGTCACCCAGGGTCAAAGCATATTAACCCATAATCAATACCTTGATCTTGCGTATCGATACTTTCAAAATTCAAATTAAGGAAGGGTTGGTAGCAATAACCCTACCAACACATACCGTGATACCATCTGCGTTACGTCATTATTCTTTATTCTATGTTTGGCAGACAATCGGGCATTATTAATTGGTCTCACATATACCGGGTGAAACATTTTAATTGATACACGTAAATATCTCGTCAGAGAAGCCACCAATCGAAAAATGGCTTAAAGTAAAAGTTGTTCAGTTCACTGGGGGAAACCAGATGCTTACCTAGGATTTGACCTTGACCTCACCTTGAAGGTCAACTTTGAAATTTTAAATGGGAGCCCCTATTTATAACCTTGGAAATGGATTCAGCAGAAAATTTTACATCCGGATGTGATCACAACTTTGACCTTGAGGTCAAAGTCACAACGGATTTAAATGATTCGTCACCCTTGAAGCAGCCTCGGAATAAGATGTTGACCTCCAGAATCGATGGGATCTACATCAAGATACTCAATCACGACCTTCGATTCGTCCTTGACCTCCACTTTGTCAAGGTCATTTGAAAGTCGACTATAAAAATCGACCTTCCCTTCAACAAATAATGTTGCGAAAGATGTTCGGGATTGAATTTGAAGGTTCACTTTGATTTCTTTTCTGCCAGGCCGTGTTTTACCATTGTATAAGTAAATTTACTTATACAATGGTATTACTAGATCAGATCTTGGGAAACGGTAAATTTGTATCCAAGTACGCTGCAAAGTAAGGGATCAAAAAAAAGTTCATTTGAAGATCAGGTGAATATTTAAATCCAGAATACTAACGTAATGACAACATAATTCAATGGCTCACAAATAGTAGTGTGATATTTTTATTTTTTCTCAATTTTTATCTCTTTTTTCAATTCTCAAGCGAAGTTATATCTTCGTTGAGTAACAAGATATTTTTATCATTCTCCCCTCACTCATTCGCAGCATTATTTTTTCCTACAATTGTTATAGTATAGTCGACTTTCAAATGACCTTGATAAAGTGGAGGTCAAGGACGAATCGAAGGTCGCGATTGAGTACATTGATGTAAAACCTTGACCTTTACCTCAAGGTTAAAGTTATGATCACATCCGGATGTAAAATTTTCGGCTGAATCCATTTCCAAGGTTAAAAATAGGGGGTTCCATTTAAAATTCCGAAGTTGACCTTCAATTGACCTTCAAGGTGAGGTCAAGGTCAAATCCTAGGTAAGCGGCTGGTTTCCCCCAGTGAACTGAACAACTTTTACTACAGTCCATTTTTCGATTGGTGAATTCTCTGACGTGATATTTACATGTATCAATTAAAATGAGACACCCGGTATAAATGTAAAATAGTTATTATTGCATGGTCACGTAAATGGTATGTACCCACTGTTAGATTATAATTATAATGATAAATAGATAATTATAGATAGCACTTAGTGTTCATAGTTCATTAATAACAGAAATCATGTTAGGTTACGTAACCTAACAGGATTTTTGTCATATACCATCATAATATTTGATATTTTACGTTTTCTGTGTGGTGTGCTGTGACTGCTGATGTGCTGTGATGCATATTGTAAATAGTGCAAGAAACAAAAAATAGTACATTTAATATTTTGTGTTTGTTATGCTTCTTTTGAGTTTTTCTTATTTAAAATTTTATGGATATTATTTTTTTAATAAGATGACAAAAGTAAATTGAGAAATTCAATTAAAATAATAGCTTTAATCTCTGTTTTTATTAATCATATCCCTCAACATAAAAAATTTAATTTTGTTTCAAAATGTTGGGAGTAAGTGTTGTCGAAATTGAAATTCCAGTCCCATGGGGACAGGTGTCAGGTAATAACTTATTATTTTCAATAACACTTTAATGGTATTTACCTACCTAGAATTCAAAGTATGTAGTTCAAAAGGTCAAAAATTGTACCTCACATTTTGTATCTATCAAAAATATTTTCTGTTCATAACTAATGTTACAAAATGACTACATTATGTATACTTTGCAGCAAAGATATGGGGAGATAGCAAAGACATGCCCGTGCTGGTCATTCACGGGATAATGGATAATGCGGGATCGTTCGACCATTTGATACCGTTACTACCAAGACAGTTTTATTACATCTGCATAGACTTACCCGGACATGGTTTATCGTCTCATTTTCCTGCTCATCATCCTATCTACACACTAACTTATATAATCGTTTATAAACTAATAGCGGACTACTTCGATAGGAGACGTTACATAATTATGGGACATAGTTATGGAGGTCAACTCGGCACCCTTTTTACTCAGTTGTATCCACAATATGTGGAAAAATTGATTCTTCTCGATACAATAACTTTGCTTCCAGTTTTCACAACTCATTTCAAAAACTACCTTGTAGAGAAATTTGATAATTACCTTTTAATGGAGGAAAAGTTGTCAAAGAACAGCAATCCACCTTCTTATACATATGACGAAGCTGTAGATAAAATATTTTTAGGTAGATATTCCCCTATAACAGCTGAAGCCGCTGTGGCACTATCACATAGAGCCCTTAAACCAACAAATAACGGCAGGTACATGTTTAACTTGGATCAGAGGATTAAACATTTTATTAACCCTCTCCGAGACTTTAGATATACTATAGAAACGTTGAGGGAAGATCGTATAAATTGCCCAGTTTTAATCATTTTGGGTAAACAATCTAAAATGCAACTGAAATATATGAAAACAGTACTGAATTACTTTAAAAAAATGAAAAATGTTACTGTTAAAATGGTTGAGGGATATCATGATGTCCACAATGATAGTCCAGAAGTAGTGGCGCCACATATTTGTAGATTTTTATTGAAAAAAAGCGCAAAATTGTAACACCAAATGCCTGAATTGCGTAAATAAAAGTACACAATACCAAAGAAAACTAATAATATGTCTCCTAGAACTCGAACCACCCAATATAAAAACATTAAAAATTTTAAAAATTGTTGAAAATTTTATTTTTATAGCAACGAAAAACTGTTTGCACCGAGCACAGTATTTAAAGACAAGCAGTGTCACTAATAAATGTACTTATGAATTGTACATACATTAAAATATTTGTATTTGTGTATGTAGGAAGAAAAATTGAGTATTTTTTTATATCTGGGTAGGTATAAATATTTTGTTAATAGATATTTCTTTTTTTTATTATTTTGTATTAAAAATAAGTTTAAGGAAGTAGGTACTTACAATCAAATAGATCTTGAGAAAAACTGAAATCTTGTGTTATTATATTTACAATAGATTTTAGCCATCATGTTTTTTGGTATTTAAGTGTAAACATAGGATAAGCATAATAATAAATATAAAATTAAATATATTGTTTTCTTCATTCTGTTTGTTACAATAAAAAAATTTGAATTCAGAGTAACATATAAATACCACTTTATGTTTTTTGCCAAAAGAAGCGGTGCGGTGAAATTTCGAGTAAGTCGTCTAGCACTAGCCCATAGAGACTAGTCACCACAAAACATAAATAGATCTAGTCTCCCTGCCCGTCCCTAACCTTTCAAAATTTAAATTTGATGCGACATTACCTTTGTCCCTAGAGCAATCCAAAACAATTTCCAACAGTCAGATGCATACGCATTTGATTCGAAACAATGAATTTTGATCTTTATGTAAGCATGGTATTGGAATGCCCATGCGTCTGATTGTTAGAAACTGTTTCGGATATCTCTATAGGAACCAATAAATTAATACATAGAGCATTACAATCAGTTTCCAACAGTCAGACGAAATCGTATTTGATTCGAAACAATTAATTTTGAACCTTATGTAAGCATTATATCGAAAAAAATGTGTTTTAAAAATCAAACATTTTTCCGCAAATTATGTTCATACAACCGTAAGCAACGTTAAAAATGGCTTAAAAAGTGAGATTTTCAGATCCCTCGCTTTTCTATTTCTAGTGTCGAACACCACGGACAACTGACATTTTGGTCCGTGGTCCGGAGAACAGAACAGAGCCACAGATTAGCTGAAAAATAACGATGCGTTTTGTATGCAGGTTGATTTTGATTGTGTTATCTATTTTTTTGGAAACATTTTGATTTTATAAAAAACCATGAATTGATATTGTAGCTGCTGCTTCTCTAATCGGCACCTAAAATGAACGGTATACTTTACTTTTGTAGCAATAACACGTCTATGCATGCACCTACCTTATTTTAATTAGCGGGATTCTTTGTTAGTAGTTTTTCTTTTCATTTTTTTTTTTGTAATGCAAGCTAAAGCTTTTATGTTTTATTTAATTGCTACGCTGTGTGCAAAGTGTTAAGTATTTTACAAGTTCAGTCATAGTTACATGTAGGTACGTGTAAGTAAATGTATGATTACATTTTTCATCTTTTTTCAGTTTATAACACAATGCCTGGTGTTACTGATATGGGCATGGTCTGGATGGGGGCCAGTCAGCCTTCTAATGATATGTCTATGGGATTAGTAGCGAATGATAACAATGATATGATGTTAGATCACGAAAACATATACTACACTCCGTCCCATCACAGCATGTCCAACCAGTCTATGGACGACATACACACTGTTCACAGTTCCCACATGGTAAGTGAAAATTGATTCTAATACTCGAAATCCTTTTTGAAATTGACTCGGATTTATGTTGCCAATATTCAGTATAAATTTTTTATATTTACGTCTGTTATCACTTTAGCACTAAGGAAACTGTTTCTAATTCATTAGAACTAAGTTATTGATTGAAAAACATCCAGAATTAAATAAATCATTATTACCTACTTATAGTTTCTTTTTAATTTTATAAAAAAAAGTCGAAATGATTATGTTTATGAAAATCTCTAAATTCGTCATGTAATTCAAAAGGGCAAAGGTCTGTTATAGGCGATCTTTTCAGGATACAATGGAAAATTTTGAGATGATGAACTTTATGGACATGAAACATGACAGTAACGATTCGAGCTACGCAGAAGATGAAAATTCCCAACCTGTATACATGATAACCACTGCAACGCAAACGCTACCTTGCCCTACTAGAAAAATTAAACCTATTAAGCATCCCGGACTGGTGCTTAAAACTCCCATTGCTTATCACAGTAATACCGACCCCTCTGTTATACCTATTCAGAAAGACGGGATAGGTGAGTCTTATTTTTATAGTCTTAACATTTATTTATAAGCAGGTATCGTACAAAATCTAGGAAACCTATATTGTTCTCTTTGACCTGCGTTTATTATTACTGTTAGTATTGTTTATACCATTTTTTGTATTTTTGATATTTCTGTGACTTGTAGATATTTCATTGAAATTTTATGATGTTTTTGGTGTAATCACAGATGAATATAGGCTTATTTTTTACTTAAAATTTACTTAACTTCTGCACCCGGTTAAAAATACCAGTCTTTCATATTTTGCTATATATTTTATCTGATAGAGATTTTGGGAACTATGTGTATTTTACATAATGTCAATTTAAATATGTAAAAAGCACCTAGCGAGATATAACCCACATTTGAATAAAAAAAAATATGAAAAAACTGTTTCAAGATATTCTTAGTTATGTTTTTGGTAACAAAGTGTACCAGGTATCAAGAAATATATTAAAGAATGTTATTTAAAAAAATGATTACACAATTTTTTGAAGGCTTTTGGTCATAATTAGTTTATTCCTTTCCAAGGAAGCTACTCTCAAAGTATGGCCCAGCTCCTTTATAAATGTGTATAAACTTTAAATTGCTTATGAAAATATGCATTTGAAACGTCTTATTTTAGCTGTCTGTGAAAAATGCGGGGCGATTGGTGTAAAGCATGCGTTTTACACCAGAGAACGCAGATTTTGCAGCATGGCCTGTGCGAGAGGCTACAGCGGCCTTATACCAGAACCGTTGCCACAGTCGAATCAAAATACTCCGGATAATAAACAGCATTATGCCAAATATCGATTCACGATGAAAATGGAAGACGACTTTACCGACTCGTTCATAGACCAACCACTACCACAGCTGTCGCCAGCACCTGAAATGCCCCCCTTAGACGATTCTCTGCCTTTAATCAGAAGGAAACCTTCTGAATTAGCTAATTCTTTCGATTGGGACAATCAACTGAACGACCAGTATTTCGTTGCGGCACCAGTTACATGTTTTAAGCACGCCCCCATGGCTGACATCTGGGAAAATATAATGGTTGGCATGAAAGTCGAAGTGGAAAACACGGATTGCGACAGCGCCTCAGATGCCTTTCCCGATTCGTTCTGGGTCGCTACCGTAATGAAGATAGTCGGTTACAAAGCGCAGCTCCGCTACGAAGGCTTCGGCTCGAACAGTTCTAAAGATTTCTGGGTGAGTCTGTGTTCGAACCAGGTACACCCGGTTGGGTGGTGCGCCACCCGTGGCAAGCCGCTTATTCCTCCGAAGACGATCGAGGATAAATACAGCGATTGGAAGGATTTCCTCAGGAAACGACTCACTGGTGCTAGAACGCTGCCTTCCAACTATAGCAATAAGACTAGCGAAAGCCTCAAATCCAGGTTTGAATGTGGCCTTAACCTCGAAGTTGTCGACAAGAATCGCATCTCCCAAGTGAAGGTAGCCATCGTTCATAAGATCGTTGGGAAACGGTTGAACGTCAAGTATTACGATATGGCCCCCGACGACGCCGGTTTCTGGTGTCACGAGGATTCCCCTCTACTGCACCCCGTGGGTTGGGCAAAAAAGGTCAGTGTAAAGTTACTTCCATTCTAAAGTATGATATTTGATGCGAGAAATTTACATTTGTTAAAAAAATATTTCCATAATTGTTTATAATGCGGTATTTGTCGTACTTTTAATATATTGACACAAAATAAAACCATACCATTACTAAACTTTAACATATAATAAAAATACCCAGTATGGCAGCTTTAAGGGTCTTTTAAACTGTTCGTAACTCGAGCCCAATGAAATGGTTTTACAAACACATTTTATTACTGTTGTATCATTGTGTAAATCAGCAAAACATTTAATACAGTTTTTAATTTGATAGAAATAGCTCGAAAAAGAGATTTTTAAATTTTTTTACTTGTAGCATGATCTAGCAACGTCTTTATGACTGAATTGTATATCGATCTTTGTGCAAAGTTTTATTTAAATTGTATTAATATAAAATATACAATTAAAAAAAAACAATACCAGGTATCCAAACTATTCCATTAAATCAGGATTTAATGCGTAGGTGAACCACCGCCTGGTAGCCCCGTTAAACTACCTGGAAAGAGTCAGCCAGGGCATGTTCGACGACGACGATGCCACGGATTACTTATTCACGCCATTCCAAGTCGGCTCTCTGGAACACTGCCACAACGGTTTCTGCGTCGGCATGAAACTGGAAGCCATCGATCCGTTAAATCTCTCGTCGATATGCGTCGCCACGGTCATGGACGTTCTCAATTACGGATATATAATGATACGCATCGACACCTACGACTCGGACGTCACAGGAACCGACTGGTTCTGTTATCACGTGAAGTCGCCCTGCATCTTCCCTGTAGGGTTCTGCGAGAAGCACAACATTCCACTGACTCCCCCCAAGGGCTACGATCAGGCTACGTTCAACTGGCACTCGTACCTGCTAAAGACCAACGACAAACCTGCCGACCCTTCTCTGTTCAACAACTACGTTCCGCTCCACGGGTTCGTGCCCGGTATGAAAATCGAGGCGGCGGATCTCATGGATCCTAGGTTGGTTTGTGTGGCGACGGTAGCTAAAGTCGTGGGCAGATTGCTCAAAGTTCATTTCGACGGATGGGAGGAAGAGTATGATCAGTGGTTGGACTGCGAGAGCCCAGATATTTACCCGGTTGGGTGGTGCCAAAGCGTGGGGCATAAGCTGGAGGGACCTCCGGTCGTACCCAAACCTGCTGCGCCGGTTATTAAATCACCGAAAGGTAAGTCGAAGACGAGTAAAGAAACATGTATTGAATTAATCGTTACCTGGGGTGTTTTGAAGAGGGTGTCGTAATTTCGGGGGATGAAAGAATATCAAAGTAAGATTTTTCATACATGTAGGAAGTTTTTTAAAATGCTAAAATCGGTATAATTAGTTTTTGACTATCGTATAGAGGTCGCTAGCTACGGTCCTTCTCAGTAGCATTTGACAGCAATGTTTTTAGGTTATGATTTCCGCAATGTTCTCTTACCAATGCCTATTTCTATCTTTGTTTATAGTGTACAAAAAGAGAGATGACAGAGACTTCATGTTTTGACTTCTTGAAATCCTATTCTGGCAGTTTCCAGCCGAGGCGTGTCGCTTCATGTCATAAGCGTGCATGTGGGAAAGACGTGTTAGTACTTTCACATTTTAGTTATTCCAATAAGTATTGTTAAAAAAATGGAATTGTTTGCTGGTGTTAGTGGCCTATCTGAATTTCCTATGGTAGTGCTATCCATTTTTTTTTTTTTTGTGACGCTGTTACCGGTTTATTTTGATATGCTCATAGTATGTACAATACGTGTGTGGACAACTTTTTTTGTTCCTCGACCTACTGTACAAATTTACCGAACAGCAATGTTGAAAAACTCCAGAATTTTATTTAAAAAAATTAATTTTGGCACACATCTCGGTCTCCTAACTTATGACACCTATTTTCAAAAATTCCAAAATAGTTAACTAAACAAAAATGAGGAAAAATAGCATCTGTTCTCTACTAACAGTTAAGAAAAAGGGGAGGAAGAAGAAGATCAAAGATGGACCACCGAAAAGCTCGTCCTCTACGTCCACTTCTACGGCTAGCATCAAATTACCAAAAGTAGAAATGGACATCGAAGAGAACCCAGTGATTGCAGATATAAAGAAGGAGATTACGAAACCCGAAGAGAACGACGGCAACGTCGTTAACCAGGGTCCCGAAAAGGGGCAAGAGCCCGTGGGGCCAGACCAAAACTTACCGGTGTCTGCCGACGCAGTTAATCCGCCCGCGGAACCGGAAGCTCCTGCCGAAAATGTAAGATATTTTAAAATAATTTTTTCGGGACTGATAAAAATCGTAATTTTTTTATAAGCAGTCGAAATTTTTTCTTATTATGATTTCTTTTGTCTTTTATTTAATTCTTTATTTTCTTTTGTTCTTTTTTTAATTGTATGATTTATTTTTTTTCAGAGGTAGCAAAATACTGTAAATAGAAATGTTTTTAACAATTTTCTAAATACTTGTAATACTTAAATATTTATGTAGGATTTACTTTATTTATTATTATTAATTTATTATTCTTTAATTTCCGATTTAAAATTTTCTTGAAAAATCGTGATTTCTTCAGATTAAAAATTGTGATTTTCACGTTACTCTCGTTAACACGCCTTTTTTAAGGTTAACATCGCCAGTACAAAATCAATACCGCGCCTTGTGGACGCCTCGAGCGGGAGTTGCGAAATCGGGGATCTGTGCCCGGAGCAGTGGAACGTTTTCGACGCGGCGCAGTTCCTTCGAGTGAACGACTGCGCCAATTACTGCGACTCCTTCACCGAACAAGTTAGTATGACGCGTAGCAGCGAAATTTCTTGGAAACTGACGTTTGTCCTTTTTCAGAACGTCGACGGTAAGAGGCTGGTGAGCCTCAGCAAGGAGGACATCCTGGAGTTCACGAGCGGTAAAGTAGGCCCGTCTCTAAAAATTTTTGATCTCATTCAGCAGTTAAAGATGAAAGTCACGCAACTCCGCCATATGAAAGCCAATATCAAAAAACCCTCATAGTGCCTAACTATTAATTATCGATATGTATTTTATGAATTGATTATATGTATATATTAGGTAGAATAGGACATGATAAGAGTAATTTTATATGAATTCAGTATTTATCCACTTGCATTTTTTTTCTTTGTGTGCGAATTATTTGCTCATTTTTTTCGTTAGTTGTCACGCTCACCCGATAGGAATGAAGTCTTGGTTTTTATTAGGCGTAATTGATGTTTGCCCGCATTTACCCGGATTCTTGCTAGGTTTAAATTTATGTTGTGTTTCAGCAGTAAAATGTCCGATTCTTTCCATTCGGAACTTAAAAGTGTAAGTTTCTCTATGAGAAAATTTCTCTGCATAATAAATTATTCGAAATACTTACAGTCTCTCTGGCGTGTCCTTAAATATTCCTTTCAACGTAATTGTACAGTCAATATATAAAAGAAAATATTCAACTTTTTTTTTTTCGTCAAGTTTTGCGGACAGGGTGTCCCAGTCTCAAAAAACAACACCAAAGTAAGAGATTTGGTACTCGTTTATAAAAGTAGGACTTAAATGGACAATCGAAATATACAATAATGCACAGGGTGTATCGTTGAAAAAATTTAGTTAGGTTATGTTCGGGATAAAAGCGACACCCTGTATATTTGGAATTTTATTTTACGCAACTTTCATTTGAAACATTTGCTTTGACATTGTAAGAGATTTTGTAAAAATAATCGATTTTTTATTTTATCAGTGATTTTATCAATTTTTTTAATAAAAACATCTTGCTACCCCCCATTATCGAAAGAATTTAAAAGACGCATTTTTTGGGTTGGGTTTTTGGGAAAACATTCTATGAAATTTTAACAATGGAATATTTTCGAGAAAAAGTACTTTTTTAAGGAAACCTCAACACGTAAGTATTTAAAAATTTTCATATACAGTGTATAATAACTAGCTAATTGTTTTTTATACCCAAAGTTCAGTTTAAAAAATAATAAACTACCCTGTATGTAATTGGTAAAAATTCAGTCAAATTTACCTATACTCAATGTTCAATAAAAAAAAAACACCCTGTATGTTGGTAAAAGTTTAGGTTGTACGTATGTACAGGATATATAAAATTTAATAATATCTTGACCCTTCATTCTTATCGCAATGATCAGAGTGGAAGGCTTGTGCGGGGAAGCAGTAGTGTATTATTATTTCGGCACCTTTCAAGTAGGTAAGTTAACTTTTATTTCAGACGAGTAATACCAAACCAAGGACCAAGTGTATTTTTATAGAAATTAAACAGGAAAATGTTTTGTTGTTTATTACTTTTTTAGTTTGGTGAATCCAGGATAGAAGTATTGATGCTGGGTATCTTGTGCTCGATTGTGTCGTATCGGAAATCCTGACGTAAGTACAGGTAGGTGACGATTATTCAGGTCCATTTATATATTTTATTTGACCAGTCGGACAAATTTACATTTGAGGGGACGTACAAGGCCAAAAAATAAAGAGTTTGGATTTTAAAGACTATGACATCATATTTCTTAGAAATATAAAACCTATCACGACCGTAACCAATAAAATGTGTTTACAAGTCGCAGACTGTCCCTGGTATTGGTTTAGCCGGATTATTTAACAAAATTAAAATTCGAGGGTAATTGAAACCTGCAGTAAAAGAACAGTAAATACATGTGTAGTTATTTAGATATACGGAACATCTATAGAAGTCGACTAACAGTAAAAATCGTTTTTTAGCCATATACGAATTCTTTTTTTATTTGAATGCCATTAGAAACAGATGTTTTGAAAAAAAGTTGCAGTTATCCGCACGTTAGTATGATCATACCCATTCATTATTTGGAAAACGAAAAATTTAAAAAAAAATTCAAATCAGTCGTTTTAAAAGTTCTTTTTTTAAAACCAATTTCCTTTATAAAATGCACCTATTTATTTTCTGTTTATTAAATATTTTGCCACCTGTGAAAAATTAAAAAACTGATTAAATCCTTCCACCAGAAGTATTTATTAAACTATTTATTTATAAACGAAAATCTTACACTAAAAAAAAGACAAACAAACAATCTATGCCACGCATTACAATGATAGTTTGACTAACCCTGGTGGTACGAAGGCTTATTTAAATATTTTTTAATTTTTTCGTACCTAGATAACCAAATACCCAATAAACAGTCGACACAACCGGACAAATTTCACTTGAGCGCTCCGAAATACGAATATTAAAAGTAGAGCACACCTGATGTAGAATGAGATGGAAATCCAGATAGCAGATAACCTATATATAAGGCTTCGTTTTGTTCTTTGCCACTGCGCATCATACCCTCATGGCTCGAATTCGGTTTATCTGTACCTATTTAAATTACAAAATGCGTTTATTTGTATGTATAATCAAATATTCAAGCAGCTACATTCTGGATATTTCTCAATTAAAGGACTTCCCTTTATAAATTACCAGGTAGATAGATAGGACGTACCTACCTATCTACGTGCGGATGTATACATCTGTATAGAATATTTTCAAATAATTTATTCCGGAAATATATTGCGTACAGGAAAATAAAAATAAAATTCACAATGCGTGATTCTCTTTAATGAATAAAATTTTTAATGTTCATTTATCCAGGTAGTTCCCCTGAAATTCCAAGGAAACACGTACTTACGTATTTAGGTACTTTTATTAAATGCAGAACATGGCTTTCATACTAAATTATATTTCCATGTCTCCAAGTAGGTACCTTACGTTTGCATCGTTTTATTTAAAAACGACTTCATAAAATTTCCCTTGGAGACAAGTCGAAACGACCCGTCCGTGCTTTTTAAGGCGACAAAAAACTGGTAGAAGGTACTACAAAGTCCGTATTTATAATTGTTATACGTAGTAGTGAATTACTGAATGCAGAATAGTTTGTACAATTTGGAGGGAAGGGAGGCAAGAGAACTTGAACAACTCTTGCTAGGCCAGCATTCATTCTAGGAGTGCGCGGTTGTTGGCGGGAAGGACGTACGTAGTAGGCTTAGGTCTACAGTCGACGGGCGGGGCCACGCCGCCAGCTGGCAGACGATGAGCGATCTCGGCAACTGATTTATCCGCGACGTAAATAGTACCGAAATGTTATGCCGGGTTTTACAGGTATTACCCGTCGTTTTGACAAATATTAACTGATTACAGGTCAAACGGACCGATTACTTATTGGGCGTGACACATACGCCGCGGTTTGTGCCAATTAGAGCGATATCGTTTTAACACCAGCGCGTAGGAATATTACATTGGCGTCAACCTGGCCTCAGCTGTTTCCCGCCAAACGCCGCTACCAGAAAACCGCTGTGAGGCGTAGCGTATGTTGGTTGTCCCGCGCTCCAGCGTACAACAGTGAAAATTTTGTAATTTAAACGGATTTAAATTTTAATTGTCAGTGACCATAAACTATTTGCCTAGTGAAAAGAATGTCTGTTTACATCAATGACGATAGGGTAGTTTTTGAAGAAAGCGGCGACGAGAAGAAAGAAATTTTGGGAAATATATCCAGGTAAGAATCCGGCATGATTTTACCGCCTTAAATACTTGTACACATGATTTTGACATTTATGTTTGACTTTGCGGTACGTCATCCAAGTTTTTATTTGTAATTACTTATCGTTAGTTATTGTATCATCACTACTTTTATCGTGCCGATTTTCTATGCAGCGCTTACCTTTAATACCGGCTTGCTCAGCTGTTGTAATCGCCATGTTTGAGCGTAGCGTAGTTATGCTTGCTGGCTAGTGGCAGTGGCTGCTCGTTCTCTGGGCTGACGTGCTGCTATTGTGGCGTAATTTACTTAAGAAGTGTAACTTGCATACCATAAATAACTTACGCATAGACCAACTCATCTCGCAACAATCTCAACTATTCTGGATATACCGACTATTTTTAAAATACTCCGTTTTAAAAACATATTCCTATTAAGAGGATGTTTAACAATTTCCAAGATATTATGCAACATTATTGTTGATTGTTTACAAAAGCTGCTTTTTTTATTTTTCGGGGAATACCTACGTGCACTTTGCTGTTGTTGTGATGGAGATAAATAACACACCCAGACGAAGGCGTTAACAAATTTTTATTTACTAAATTTTAGTTGAACAGCTGACCGAACAAATAGGCTGGTCTAAAATTGCATTCGATATCGCTCCCTGACGTGACAAGATATTTTAAGTGCGTGTGTGTGTTGAGTGGATGTGTTTGTTTTATCCGTATAACAAGCGAGACACGTGGGTGCAACGAAATGCACCACACCCGGTCTTTGCGACAGCTTTCACGCCCTTGTTTCTGCTTTCTAACCAGACAGTTCATTTTTGCAATATGCATTAGCTCGTCCCTACGCGTCCCAGAAAAATGTTTCATTCATGATGGTAATACTAGTTCTTTAAACTAAATTGAGGTTTAAATTAAATTCATGGTTGCATGTTGCATGCATAGGTCTGTCTCGTAATATGATAAAAAAAATAACGTTTTAAACTTGAAATCGTAATGTAAACCAACATTTATGAATTGCCCTGAATGTTTATTTAAGCCATGAATAAATGATTTTGCTAATATTGACGTGATGGGTATTTTGAATGTTGATTTATTTTCGATGCAGTATTGTGCACCTGGTTTTATAGCAGGTAAAAGAACGTGGTGCATCATAACTAAATTAGCAGCCTAAAAACATATCCCCTCCGATTTATTTACATTGAAATATAAAGGTACGCTTTGAAATTTGTCTTAGAAATTATAGATATGCTAAATTTATTCGGGAAATACCTACATCTGTTTAACCTGATGTATTTTCGCTCACGTGGATAAAAAACTTTCTAAAATAGCTCAATATTTCGAGGTGCCTTAACGTAGGTATTTATTTAACAATCAAAAAATTCTTGCACAAAATAATATAATCAAAACGAGGTAATTACAAAATTTTATAGTGGCATATGATTATCATAAGCAAATATATTTTGCATAAAATTGATAATTTTAATAGGTACTTAGGTGCATTTCTTAGTGAAGTTGGTAGTCATTAAAAAAATTCTTAAAAAAAACTTTAACTTGCACTTTTGCTTGTACATTAATTAATTTTTGAAATATTTTTTTTCTTTAATTCGTAATGAAAATTACCTATACCTGAGGAGTTGCTTATATTATGATGAGCTCAATTCGATAATAACGTGGAAAAGTTGTAAAATATTCCCATTCATCTCAATGTGCGTGACCCAAAGTATGTTTGTGAAATATGTATCTATATTTAAAACCAACAGTTAGGTAGGTATGTAATATTTCTCCAAAATTACTTGACCGAAAATAAACAGTAACAGCATAGAGTATGAACATAATATACTTGACAAAAACAAAAAATAGTACCTACTTAATTTATTCTAAATTTTTATACTTCCGGTTACATATTAATTATTAAGAAGGTTGTGGAAGAGGAATGTATCATATGTGGAACCCAACAAGTCATTCACATCTGGGAGATCTACAAAAAAAATAGATCACCGAGAGCGCCACACATTCACGAAATTTTTTGTGAAGTTTCTTACCTAAGAAAATATCATGCCCATTTTAAGGGTGTTCTCACAGACTGCGCAGGGAAGGAACTGAAAAACATCTGCCGTCTCTTTGTTGGGGTTATTGAAAGTCATAAATCTGGCGCTTTTGTTTGGAGCTTTTGCAGTTGGTCCTTTTACCTGCTATGAGACTAGGATAAATAGAACTAGTGCTAAGAAAACGAAAAATAATTTCAGGTGACCACTTTGAATCTGATTTTTTCATACAAAATGTATTAAATTATTGAATAATGACAAAAAAAAATTGAAATGAAGATTTAAAATATTTATACCACTGGTAAACATTTGGCATCAAAAACCGCGCTGTGCGTCGCCTTTAAACAAATAAATTTATATATTTTACAATAATGGCGCATAAATAACTATAGAACTTGTCATGTTTGACATTTTACATGGAGTAATGTGCATTAGCGTTGTTCATTATATTATAGCGCCTCCTTTTGTTCCACTTTTATGTGCTATTACATATTTTGAGTTATACAACCAGTTTTATTGTTAACATATCGTCGCGTTCCGGCTTTTTTTACGGTTAATCTGTAAAATCCATTAGGAATGACACAAACAAAGCGAATCGGATTTATTTATTGGCCTTAAAAACAAACTCCTACGCGGCAAAAAATAAATACATTGTGCACAGGAATCGAAAATTAAAACGCATCGGACGACACTCCTAAAACACAACAAATTCTGTTTGTGCTCGCTGTAATAAAATTACAGTCCGGTGCAGCTAACAATCACATTTTATAAGTGGAAAATAATTGGCTTTGGAAGGACGTTGAAGGCAACTGCAGCAATTATTTCGTTATTTATATGCAGATATTTTTTCTATTCAATAAGCTCCATTCCAGTGAATCATTACATGTTTGACTGGTTACATTGTTGTTTGCGTTAAAAATAGAATGTCATAACGCTTTCGTTGATAAAGCCAGCTCATGTTAATGAGCACTTCTCGGTAAATTCAATAGATATCTAATGTTAGCCGGAATTTTGTGGGTACTTGTTTACTGGTTTTACCAGCTGATCATTGAAAAAATTTACGTGTCCTTAAGATTGAATAATATCGGGCTATGTACCGTCACTGTGTCATATCGACGTGAGTAAAGGGATGCAGAAGAGAATTTCATTCATATACGTACGTTTAAAAGTACTATGTAATTTGTATATGATCTAACGTACGGTGTGGGGGCGTAGAGTGGATATTAGAACGACACACTGTGACAGTGGAAGCCGAAACAAATCAGCTGATATCAAGAAGTCCCGATAAAAATGGCGGCGGGTCGGAGAGAGCAGGAGCCGTACATACCACGCCACTTTACGAATCAATACCTTGACGTACTACTACGCATTAACAAGGCCTGATGACCTGAACTATATAGGCGGCGAAGCGTTGGTTGGGTACTTTGAGGGAGCCCAACTAGGAAGTAACTCCTGAAACACTTTGATACCCTAGTCTAGTCCCGAATTGTGGAAACATTGTGGAATTCTACGGGAAATGTTTTACAATGGAGTTACGTTTTGATTTTTTTTTTGGAACTTACAACTTTTTTACTACTAAAAATAAAGGTATTATATTAAAAATATGACAAACTGCAATTTGTGCCTCGCGTTACTAAAAGATCGTATTTCAAATGTATGTAACTTTACCACAATTTTGTGAAATACATTATTTTATGAAAAAAAAAAAAAAAAATCAGATGGAATACGTTATTTGCTAAAATGAGCACTATTTGAAGGAGTTGGTTTTCCTTGTACATGCAATGGGATGTTAAAATATTTAACAGAAAATTATTTTTTTGTATGTTTTGTAGTTGTTAAATATATACCCTGCCATAACTGAATTCAGATGCATACACTACAGACTATGCGATATGGATTTTTTCTAGATTTGTGTTTCATCTTAAACTTCGATGGTTCTAACTAATCTAATATCAGTGGTGTCACTCCACTGTATAGTTTTTCCGAAGTCAATTGAACATGAATAAAAACGCCTAGCAATTAATGAGTTTCATAAGCGACCCTAAAAAAAGTTTTCTGCTAAAGGTAAAAAATTATAATAATTTGTATATTATGTGTAGAAAATTTCTATTATATGTTCATTTGGCCAACAACATATTCTAGTTATTTATGTCCTCAAACAATTTTATTATATTTATAAATTTCGTTTTGTTCCGTTTCAAAAGGTTTCCAAAATGCCATGTTGTAATAATATTAGTAAACAAAATATCCCTCTTATTTCTCCCTTTCGCAATTGTAATATGAATGATTAATGGAAGGTGCCTATAATAAATTAAAATTACCTGAATCACACCAAATTCCGCATTGCTGCACTGCACTGCTAGGCAATTTGTCAACAATTGAGATTTATTGCCAGTTGCCCAGTGCGGCTGTGTTATACGCCATTTGCCCGTGCGCCCATTCTATACATTTCTATACTGCCTGTGGGTCTATACCGCCTTCTATACCGCCCTTCTATACCGCCTTCTATACCGCCTGTGGCTCGGCATTTTTGCTGAGATCAGGATTAATTTAGTAGTCAAGATAATTTTTCTGCAATACCCTGATGGACGCAAAACTAAAGTTTCCATAAAACAACAAGAGTAGAAATAACACAAAGAACTCTTACTGAACTTACTTTTGAAAAAATTTCTGTGAATAATTTCAAATCAAGGCAGAAATGTGATAAAATACGTTTTTTAATAATTTCACAATGTACTTAAGTACTGTAACGAAAGTCGCTCTAGTGTGCGTAGCTTATACACTTGTTTACTTATTTGTTTCATGTTTCTAGAATATGTTCTATTTCTTACTTTCATGTTCTTAGAAGCTTTGATATTGTTCTATACTGTTTGTAGACACCTACCCTATGGACATTTCGATAAACGAAACATATATAACCGGTCGCATCAATGCGCGCGGGAGTTTTTTTAAGGTTAACTTAGAATTTGTCAAAGTTGTGTATTCATTGTGTTAAATAAAGGAAATTTAAGACAATATCTTCTACTGCAAACACAGAGGTAGATATAAATTGTAAAATTCCATAGAACGGTATTATTAAATTTTATTATATTAAAAGTAATACTTTTTTTTTGTGGAATTATTCTAGAATTCCGTTTAAGGATAGGTACTTGATTACAATTGCGACAGTTTTTTTTCGCACAAAATGAAATCCTACATTTGTATAGTAAATTATAAGCGTGAAATTGCGTTGCGTCAAAGTTATAAGGCATTTTTTCAGTGGAGGAATTGTTTTTAATAAATTACATTCACATATCGTTGCATCTCATGACGTTGACAGTGGTGCCCCTATAACAGCTTAAACAAAGAAGTAAAGTTGAAATTCAATTGTCAGCTATTAGATTTTGGTTGACTTATTTTTGATAATATTCCCGTCAATAGGAGGGAGGCTTAGGTGATGTTATCTATATTAACCCAAGTGTGTGGGCGACTTGCAGCAGTTTTGCATATGTGCCAATATTCTGTTATAAAAATGTCGCTTTTTTATTAAAAATGGTTATGTCCCTCAGATATGAGCAGTAACCGACACTCATCGAAATTTCTGTCCATATTTAGCAATGCAATTATAATTATTAGTATTCAATTATATTTAAAGCTGAATTTAATAGATTTAAATCTGTATTTATTTGATTTACAACTAAATATGATTTTCGCGCTTTGTTATAACTTAAGTTCGAATGTATTTTTATCAAAATGGGACATTTAGGAATTTATACATGATTTTTGCCTTAGCTCTAGCAAAATTGATACAAATTTGCAAAGTTCTTGCAGAGATGAACTGAAGAAATTTTTTGAAAATTAAAAAAAAATACATTTATTTATACAGGATTGCTTCTATTTGTCATATCTACACTAAATGGAATTTGAAACTACAAGACTCCGTCCTACCTCAACATTTCGCTCCATTATCAGTCGTACCCACGCATATCTATCGTTCTAATGATTCCATCTGTATAAGGACATGGCTGTATTGCCGTAAACTTTATTATCGATTCAGTAATAAAACCGTAGTACAGTTGTAGGTTCACTTTTGCTCAATATGCGGCATTATTGATTGGGATTGCAATTCTCCTGTGATCAATAATCAGCGCTTTGCTTGTGCTGTGAGAGTGAACTGGTCGAATCTGCCGAAAGGAAAAGTTTGCTAGACTTGCGTGATAATTGGAAGTAACCCCCAGAAACGCCATATTGACAATTCTACTTAGAATTGTACCAAAGTAGATTTGCAATGTCAGAAGCTGTGAGGAAATTCTTTCTATGATACCAATCTGTATTCCAATTTTTTTTCCTCCTGCATAATAAAATAACCAAATAATTTTCCTGAATGTGTTTTTGCTTTACAACAAATTTAGTAACACATATATAGCTATTTTTTTATATTTAATGTAAATTGAGCTTTTTTCTATATTGAGTAACAATTACATCTGTTTATTTCCGGTAGACTAAAAGGAAATGATGAATACGTGTTTGTTGTGATTTCGCTGCACTCTTTAATTGTTTGTTTATTTTTCAATTGAAAAAATGCATTATAAAAAGTGGGAAAGGCCGTTTGATTGTCGGCATACCATTGAGCAAATATGTTGAAATAATTATCAACGGTAATATCGTCGAGATAATACATGACAAAGTAAAATTGCAGTCATTAAAATCTTTCCGAGACCTACTTATTTATCAGCGGATTTATTTTTACTTTGCGGTATTGTAAGGAATTTGGTACAATTTTTTTGTACCAATCATAATATTTAGCAACTTCATTGAACAGTTTTATTATTTTTTTGCTGTGTTGTTAACCGATACAGACCGCTGCTGTGTATTGTGCCGCATCATTGTTATTTTAATAAATTTCGTACAAACTGCCAAATCATTACGAAATAAGTAAATCTTCAGTTTTTTCGTTTACTTCGCGAGATGGACGTGTATTACCAAGGTCTTCAGCCTCTCTTTTTCCATTTTCGCATGTAGGTGAGACTGTGCTAAAAACAGATTTCAATATCAAGATGCTATTGATGCAACAAAAATGCAAACAGAAGCTTTTTAATAATTGTGATATTGAGACAAACAATTTTTCATCTAGTACTGTCGAATTAATTGTTCATAATCTAGAAAACTAGATAAGTGATGTTTAACCAGATAAAGACGAGGAAAGTCACCCAAAGAATATGTGATTAACGGCTTGACCCATTTTCTGTGACGTCCTGCGTAACAAGAACGTAATTTCGTAAAAAGCTATGGTATGGATGGGATGTATGGCTTTATTTAATGGTCCCATAAAACGTGATGTGTCAATTCCATTGCCGATATCGGATGCCGGTCAAAACAAACATACTGTTTTGTCTATAAAAATGAAGTGGTGCCAGTGCCACTGTTTTTATTATACACGTGATAGGTATCTGCTTGTGGCGGGGGGGATTCACGCCACCGACTGAGTTTGTACCGATCAATTATGTATACAACACATACGTGCGTTTGTTCCGATGTCAAAAATTAGAACAAGGTCGTCTTGGTGCACTAGCTGGGCGAAATGTGAAAACAAAACGATTTCCTTGTTATTTATGTCACAGAGCGAGTGCGGCGTCGATTCGCATCGCCAGTTACTTAACTTCGGAAAATGCCTCGTTATGCATTGCGGATCGCAGATATTACTTTTCTGGTTTTAGAGGTTTAGTTGCGGGCGGAATTGTTGTAGTTTATAACTAAAGAGCCCAGATCTGTTGGGTGTATAACGCGATTCGAACAAAGACTTCGTTCTAAGTCATTGAGTTGCAGTCGTAAAGTCGCCTACACATTACAGCAGTTAATATGTTTTCAAAGCCCGTGCACTTCCGGTTATACGAAATGTTTATAGCTCGCAATATAAATAGAATAACACTTTGTCATAAGACAATTTTAGATGAAATATAATCAGTTTTGAAATATTATTGAACACTTACCCACTCATAAATGGAACAGATTTCTACGTCAGCAGATTTTATGAGCCGCATTGTAGAGCATCGCCCGTTTTGCGTCGATCTGTAACAAACGAGGTTTTTAAAAAAGCGATTTTTACATTTTTTAACAAAATTGTAAAGCAGAGGATGTATTTTTTTATGTCTACTTTGTCCGTATAGGATTTTAAGATCTTAGTATTTTCAGTACTTAATATTTCCTGAGAAATTTCTTTGCAATCAAAATATAACGACTACTTAAAAGTTGACACCAAATGGGAAAATTTTTATTACGCTGTTTTCCTATAACGCAAAGTAACGAAGAAAATAGGAGCTAACGCTTATGGTGTACCATCCTGTAGACCTATAAATCTGGGCGGCCTGTATATTGTGTTTCAAACATATGCGATTGTTTAACTTATTTCGGAGTTTTCATTCTCGGAAAGTTTGATCGTCTCGGAAAAAACTCGACTGTTCCACCACTGACATTCGATAATAGTGTTTACTAGTAATTCGAAGAAATTAATGAACTGTTATTGAACCGCTTGATCAGCTGATAATTAAAATACAAATATGGGTCGCGGGCTAGTACCAAGGATCAGCCGAGCTCGTCAAAACTTTCTAATTCGTTGCAGACGTTAATTAAGGAGTTTTTGACGTTGTCGACGAGAACGGTTGTTACGGTTTAGTTTTCGTTGCAAAATACTTCAGGACCGAACCATCATCTCCTAAAGTCGGCCTTTTATAGTATAATTGTCGAATTCGTCACGCCCACTCCGGCGAATTCGTCACACTTTTTTTTTTGGTAATTATTTTCATGAATGAATTCTGCAGCTACTTGAATCGTACCGTAAAAGCGCAGCCCAAATTTTTAAAAGAAGCGGAGAAATTTTGTGATTTTGTGATCAGTCAGTCAATAAGGAGAAAAACATACATAATAAATGGATAAATATTCGATTTTGTGTCTGGACAATGTCGCAAATAATAGTTCCCAGGGATATCGATTACTGATAATTTATAAATGACAGTGGCACATTTCTTGCCTTGCTATTACTGGGCTGTTATCAAGAGTCCGTAGAAAATGAATAAATAAATAAATAACTACTCTAAAAATAGCAGCAAATGTAGTACGGAATAATCAACAAATACTATAGTAAACTTTGTATGGGGTGTTCCAATGAAACTTCACTTTCATTTTTGTATGTCCATGTTTCCGAGATAATGTACCAAAATTAGACTACTTCAGAATAAATCGAGATACTGATTAGTTTTTAAATGGAAACTAGTAGTTTATCGAAGACGGTATCTAAGTCTAAACATGTCATTCGTATTAAAACAATCTTTTATCAGTAACAGTGGCGTAATATGAAAACTAACAGCTGAGGAGATAAGTGTAGTAGATATATACTGTGACGTTACGTTATGGAGTGATTATTTTATAGATAATTAACATTCATTAATAAATTTAGATAGATTTACAACATTTGAAATGTACAGTCAACCTTTTTATCACATTTATTTACATCAAAGAAATCGGAAGGGATGCAGGGAACAATGACTGTAATTTGTCTGAGCAAAGGCTGCCGTTTTCCGCGAATGAGTCGATTAACTGTTACAGTCTAATATTTTCCATTTATAAAACACACAAATACTTTTCTTTCAGGTATTTTACTCAAAATCCATTAGAAAACGAATTTTAATCCGTTCTTTGTCACCAAGGATGCATTTATTCAACATACGATTACTTAATGTCGTATCTCCACGTTTACGAGATGAAATAAATGAACACGTGTTAATACCCCTTTGAGTACCATCACGGTTAATAGTTGTACTTCAGCCATAATAAAAAACGATCTTTTCGCAGCCGTATAAACAAGGGAGGTGAACCACCCACGGCCACCATGGAACAGGAAAAGCGGATCAGAAGGGAGATCGCCAACAGCAACGAGAGGAGGCGTATGCAGAGCATCAACAATGGCTTTCAGTCCCTTAGGTCGCTCCTACCGCATCACGAAGGGGAAAAATTAAGTAAGGTAAGTCCTGACTGCTGCTCACCTTAAATTCTATAACGATATGGTCGTTTATGTCCCGCGAACAAGATACAATCCTGTGTGACCGTGGCAGAAAATAAATATTGAAGATGTCGTAGTGCTAAAATTGATTAAAAAGGAACTGTTATTATTCGGAACTAACTGAAAATATTGCGGGGGATCTGTCTAGACTTGGTCTATTGGGAGACGGGGCACACATGATTGGATCTCTGATCATCTGATTTCTATTTTTCAGCGCCGCTGTATCAGCTGATTCTTTATTTTCGTCTGCGTTTAAAAATAAGCGTAAACTGGAGCGTTTGCGTATTTTTATGACATTTCATTTTGAACGGTCGTATCCGTAATAATCGCTCTATTACTGAGATAATCGCCAAAGGACAAGGCGGTAATCTTTTAGTAATTCAACAATTAACGTTACGTAGTTGGCAAGGACTGGTCGTTGCATTGGAGAGCAGTCTGTCTATAGTCTGCCTTTGTTAAAGGAAATGCCGCATAGTGAAAGGTAGTGAGGTCAACCGCCTGCATTCGGTTTTGTAAAGTAAGGTTGGAATTCGGTGGAGGGAGGGTTGCGGCATAAAAACTGATATCTCTGATTTTGCTGGCTTTAACCTCGTTTCCAATCATACCTGACGACCAAAGATAGTTAATAATATTTGAACGTTATTCAAGAGCAGATTGCGGTATCGGGTCTCGGTCTTTTCATTCCAATCTCTTGATATTTACGATTACTCTAATCACTCTTACAACTAACGATTAGTAAAAATTTTTCATCATGGATCTTTGTATTTCTACTGAATCTAAACCCCGCGCTATCGATCCTGTTTTTCATTTTACGATCGATGATTTTAATGATGTCCTCGCCGAGGACAATCGGTGTTGCACACACACAACTAGCTTCATTCATGTGAATGCGGCAATTTAATTTGTTTGGTTCACCGGTATTATTAATTGAATTTCAAGGCAACGTAGCGTGATTATTAACAACATTACACCTTGCATGATGTCGGCGACATGTAACGCGGAGTATTTTTATACTTGCTGTCAGTCCGTGGCATACATAGCACAGCTGATCGGTAACTCTTCGGTCTGTTTTTTATTGCAGGTTTACCACTGCACCGTTTACTAAACACAATCTTCTTAATGTCACCTCTCAAAAAGGCAACTTTCTGACGATACTAAAGGTGCCATACTCGTTCAGTTTTTGTCAAGAATAAAAGATGCAATACACATTCGCTTTTTGACAAGAATAAAAGACACTAAAACTAAAGGATGTCATACGCATTCAATTTTTGACGAAACTAAACGGGAGCCGTTGAAGGAATAAAATTTCCGGAGGGAAAGAGATTTAAAAAAAACGTTTCTTTGCCGACAAATCAAGTTACATTTTTTACGTATTTTCTACATTAGTGTTGGGATTATGGGTAGAACTAAAACACTTTAATAATTAAAAGATATTGATTATTCACTTATTCAGAGAGCACATCTATTCGGTATCAAATCAGATTAGAAACTTAAAGTATTTTCCAAGCTCAGTGTGACAATATACCTCCGTATGTTTATAAGCATTTTAATTTATGACTTAGGGGTCGTTGGGCTTTCGAGAGAGAAAATAAACATATTACAAGTAGGCATTAGTATCTAAGGATGGGAATGTTTTTGTTTACGTAACTTGAGTATCTTTCAACAATTAGAATATAAATCAGTTACAATGACTTTTAAAAAATGCAGTGGCGTAGTTTTTTTTGTAAAAAAAGGGTGCCCCTGTCCAGTTGTACACCACTGGTTGAACCTTTAAAGCTCCTATTTTAGGAAACGAAAGGCTGTCATACATTATCTGTACCAAATTTTATTGAGATTGGTTAATAGATTCCGGAGATATTAAAAAAAAATCAATTTTTTTTAACAACTTCAACACCCTGTATCTCTAAAACGGTCTGTTCCAGACAATGTTTATAAGGCAAACACATATTATTTTAAAGAGATCTATCTGCCCTCGAAGTTTTCTGCATAAAATTCGGACCACTCTGTATAAATATTGTATATTCACCTTTAGAAAATTAGCACAACATTTTTTTCCCGCGTATTTTAACACTGGAAAAATTTTTTTTTTAAATAAACCCTTGCCCCAACGGATCAATCAAATTATTTTTGTAACCAAAAAACTCGTTCACTTCAAGTAAGTTGTTAACGTTTCGAAAATCTGTTTTCGTTTTCAGAATTAATAATGACGTTTCGTTTCAAAATTAATTTTAACAGATTAAATTTGTGTACCTGCTCCCATAGTTAAAGATATGTTATTATGTTTATTCTATTACTTATTTTTATTATTCGTAACCAACAACATTGATTATCCATGCTGAAAACGAAATCAGAATGATTTTCCGAAACATCAACAACCTATTGAAGTAGATACTGGTTCGGTTTTTGACGAGACTAGAGTTTTCCGAAATTAAAGGATACCATACACGCTCGACTTTTGACAAGGCTAAGGGGTGCCATACACGTTCGAATTTTGAAGAGACTAAAGGGTGCCACACACGTTCAGTTGCTCTTTAACAGCGATAAACAACGCCTGTAAAACAACTACGTTAAGTTTAGTTGTAATTTCTTGCTAATAACGAATGTGGTTTTTGACCACGTCTTGTTCCGCTTTACCAATTTATTCGGACTTTATTCATATGTGCATTTTTAAAATGTCATACTCTTTTATAACGCATGAATGAGAGTCGAGTCTCGAAAACGCCGCCACCAGCCAACGACCGCCTACCCTCCTTTTCGTGCGTGCGGTATAATAACTGTGCTACGAACGCTGGTGCTGGGTTCGTCGGATTGCGAAATATAAATCGGGACCGATCCCGTCGCGTCGTGGGCCGCCTATAAAACACATCGATGTGCCCGGCCCACGTGTTACATATTTAGCAACTTACTCAGTTCTATTTAAAAACAGAAGACCCCGACTGAAAATTACAGCCTATCTCTGTGTAGTAAAATACCCTGACCTAGTTCTCTGCGTGCCGGTCTGGGCAGGCCGGCTCGACGAAAGATCGTTTAAAAGCTAATGGCCTGCACCTAGATAATAAAATTAGTGCGCGCCGTGCGGCTAGGTGGGGGAGATTTTGCAATAATAATAAGTGGCTAATCTTCGGACTTCGCCGGTTGAATAAGATTATTATTCGGATTTCGGTCACCGACTTAACACAAATGCAGCCTGTCTCGCTTTCTAACACCTGGCCGAACTCTAACATTTACATCATTTATATCAGAACAAATTTTTCTGTAGCATCTGTTCATATTTGTAGAATTTTCAGAATATCTTAATAAATGTGCCCTATTTTTCCTATCCTTCCACTTATTTATTCCAAATTAATCGAAATTATTCATTATCGATCACAGCGAACTATTACAAATACTAAAGACAAAAATTAGGTCATTTAAAAATACCCAGTAACAGTCGATTTTTTTTATGCGTGTGCCTCCTAGATTATGTATACACAAAGTAGATGAGTCACTCCGTATTTAATTTTTTAAACATGTTTCGCGCCATCTTTTATCTGGGATGATATTTAACAATTTTAATGTCTATTGCACTAGTATTGTTATTTGAATTTTAAATTGTGCTTGATTTGCGAAGAAATTTTCGCAAGTGTTGAATGAATTGTTGAATTCTAGATAAATTTACAGCTTATAAAAAGTGTCCTAGACTTCAGAATAATATTTACCTGTAGAATACATATAAAATGTTACGTACTTTGTAATTTAAACACCTCTTAAAATGCACCTAAATAATTGACTATTGTTGGTTTTGCCTTTGTAAATATTGTATAATTATCAGAAATGTAAATAAAGTTGGTCTTGATCTGGGACACGGTGTATACGCGACAGGTATACGCGGGGAATGGCAATTTCTATGTGATTCACATTGAGCAGGTCGGAATCCGAACAAATACAAGGTGAAGAGAATGCCGCTCCGTTGTCTGCCGGGAGTGTTTTTTTCCGCGTGTAGATATTAATACGATCTAAATCTAGAGACTCTTCTGGACCTATCCTAAATGAAAAGAGGGGCCAGGTTAAGGGTAATCGTGTGTTGGCGCCGTTGGTAATTGTCCAAATAGGAATTATTCGGCGCCTAGAACGACAATTTCTGTGGAATTTACATTGAGCAGGTCGGAATCCGAACAAGTTGTCTCCCATTAGTTTTTTTGGTGCGCAGATATTAAAACGGTTTAAAGATAGAATCTAGACTATTCTGGACCTATCCCAAATGAGGAGCGCGACCGAATAGAAGCCAAATACATTTTAAGAAAATATATTTACTGGATTCGTTCGTTCATTTACGAGGTGAATTATAAGATTCCATTCTGTAAGCATTGGTATCAGATCTAGCGCAAGATTTTGCAAACCGTTATTTTCCAGGTGGTTCATCGATAGCGATGAAGAATTCATGGATTTCGTAAAAGCTTTATACTCTACGCAGATTTTTACTTCAAATGCACCGTTTGTTCGGCGTCAAACCAAAAACCATTCACTAAACACTAACTGTTAGTCGATAAACAACGACTTGAATAGCGGCACGTCTGTCCGCGGAGCACGTTGCGATCATTGTTGTTTTGATTTCTATTGCGGAAAGGAATGCTATCTGTAATGGTTAAAGAAGAAAAAAAAAACCGGCCTTGCCGGAACAAAAAACATGTCCAGCGAACGAGACTAACGTGCGGCTATATCTGAGCAGAACCGAATTCTGACCGTTCGACGTCGCGGAATGCGTTATTGACATTTAAGATAATAATTTGCCGGCGTACGGTTCCCACCAAAATCGTCGGCGTTCCCGCACCCGCCCGCTCTTCGCTTACACTCACTGTGGCGTCGACGTCCTTGAGGCATATATTCACACTCGTTCGTCTTATCGAAATGTGCGACCGTCTGTTCCTACAGGCCGTTTTTTTGCATCGTTCTTCCTTTTTCGGTCTGGGATGACTTTAAGA